GGAGTAATACTTCCTGTATCCGATTTTGATCTACTTACCATGGATTCTGGTTCCTACCATTTTTACTTTTAGTCCCAATTAATTTTTCTATGAGATATTTAGACTGTGTGGAAAAAATATTGCTTAGCTGTCACTAAAATTCTAGTCTAGGAATTTTGAATCAATTTTACCTTGGTGACATCACTTGATTAAATAATTAGAAATCAACTCTTAGATAAGCAAGCGGATAAACATTTATTTGTCATTCAAACATATTATAAGAATTCTTGATACAATGGATGTTGAGTTATAACTTATCTTTACACTTAGTTAACAGTAATAAGAGTAAAATAAAATAAGAAAATTAACAAATGGATTCAGCAACCTGCAGACTTATCAGCCTGACATCAATAACTGAAAGGATTCTGGAAAATATAATCAAGCAACGAATCTGTGAACACTTAGAGACAAACAAAGTCATAACCAGTAACCAACATGTGTTTGTCAAAAACAGATCATGCCAGACAAATCTTATTGCATTCTTTTATAAAGTAGCAAAATTAGTGGACCAGCAAAATGCTGTGGATATAATTTACTTGGACTTTAGTAAAGCATTTGATAAAGTAGACCACAGTATATTTTATAAGATAGAAAATAAAAAAATATTAAAAGTACTATTAAATGCACATTAAAAACTTATAGACACCAGCCATAAAATTGAATAATTAAATCATTTTTTATGAATTAAAACCTGCCTGAATTAAAACAAGTTTGCCTGACAGGAGAAAGAAAAACAGTAGCCTAGCCCAGGAGTGGGATTCAAATTTTTTAACAACCGGTTCTGTGGGCGTGGCTAGGTGGGTGTAGCTAGGTGGGCATGGCCATGTGACTGGGTGGGCGTGGCTTTTCTTTTTCTTTTTTTTTTCTTTCTTTTTTTTTTTTGCAGTAACTCCCCTTCTTTTTTTGCCTTCGGGAAGCCTTGTGGGGGGGTGCATTTTTGCTCTCAGAGGCTTTCTTGGGGCCCAGGAAGGCAAAAAATGGAGCCTGGGGTGTGTGTGCCAGTATTATCCCACCCCTGGCCTAGCCTCCCTTTACAAAGAATTCCACAACATTTGTTTCTCTTTTATTTCTGAACATTTGAGATTTTCTAGGCAGCAGTACTGCCATAATATCTTCTTTAATAAAGACTTCTAATGTTGTAATATGTGACCTCCCTCAAAGACTCTCATAATACATGAAATGAATGGTTTCATTTGAATGATGATTAGGCAAGAGATAAATAGTCCATACTAGTTTTTAATCCATAAGTCAAATAAAACAGTTGCAGAACCTTGTGACTTTATCAAATATTTCATCGAAAATGAGCAACAACCAAAACTCATAATTTTAAATCATAGTTTCAATAGGAGAGATGAGCTTGCTTACTTGTACCCAAATCCTAAAAACTGGATTTTGCTTTGGGGACAGTCAAGGTCCTGTCATTCACTTAAATCAAAAAAGGGAAGACTTTTTCCTGGTCTGAAATCAGCTTAACTTAAACTGTTGCAACTTGTAAAACACTTAACAGTGCTCTTGGTGCTCTTTTGCTCCCTCTTAGTGTCTTTTCTTTTCATTATAGCTTACTGCTTATAACATCTAGACACAGATACTTGGCACTTCATTCCTCATAAGACTGCTCCCTTTATGTGTGTGTGTTTTCAAAGTCAGTGTTGACCCCTGGACAAAATTTGGGAAGTTGTCTGCCATTGCCCTCTTGGCTCATGGATCTAGACTGATGCCTTAACCCAAGGGTCTTCAAACTTGGCAAGTTTAAGACTTGTGGACTTCAACTCCCAGAATTCCTGAGCTAACATGACTGGAGGAGGAATTCTGGGAGTTGAAGTCCACAAGTCTTAAAGCTCTCAAGTTTGAAGACCCCTGCCTTAACCACTACACCAAACTGATTCTCAGTTGAAATCTATCTTCCTGGAAACCATTCAAGTTTGGAAACACACAACTCCTTCAGTTAGTTTCTTTTATCTCTTTTAGGAAGGCTGTTTAAACACCACCTCAGAGTTAATATTATTCCTACTGCTCCGAATGGTGTTGATTTTTTTTATTGTCAAATTGTTTTTTCTGAATTTATGAGTTTTGAAAGTGTTTTGACTGAACAGTACAGCAAGTGCTTCACAAGACAATGCAATTCAATTAATGTCATCTGTCTTGAGAAATTGTTTTGAGATGTGATTTATGGAAAATAGAAATATTCATGGTTATCAATGAATGCTTTCAATAGATCACTTTAAAGGGGTTGGAGGAAAGGAGGGCCAAGCCTTACCCTGCTATAAACTGCTGGCAGGCATCATCTTCTCTCTTTCTAAAGTTGTTTCGCCATCCTTTTAGTTCTTCTTTCTCTCTTTTGTAGTGTTTGTCCATTTGGATCTCTCTGCCAAAGCTGAGATGGGAGAGAACAAAGAGCCACATGCAGCTGTTGCTTAGGAACAAATGCAATGTGTGAAGTTTTAGTTTTTTATATTTACAAAAACAGATGATTCAGAAGGACAGGGTGGTGTGAAAGCAGAAATAAATTTGTGTCTGAGAAAGGGGGAGGGTGACAGAAAGAGGAAGACTCTTCACTAACCTTTCTCCTTTTCTCATGTTAACTTGCTGGTGATTCTTATCTGTTTTACTTTCTCATGCACACACACAGATACTATTATCTTTACATATAGTGGAACAAGATACTAGATTTCTGTGAATTACAAAAAAATAGTATGGGCTGCATATGAGAAATCACTACTATGTTGTTATTAATATTCTCCTACATAAAAAAACATTCATGTTGCTTGAAAACAAGCATAATAGCAGGAAATAGGCTAAGCTAAAACTTGAATATGAGCCAATTTGGTATAGTGGTTAAGGATAGAAACCAGGAGATGGTGAGTTCTAATCCCACTTTAGACCTGAAGTCAGTTTGGTACTCTTGATTCAGTCATTTGATGTGAGTCCTAGGAGGAAGTCAATAGCATACCATTTCCAAAAATATGCCAGAGAAACTGCAGGAAGCACAGCCACTCCAGGAAGCCTCAGATGCCTCATCCAAGCCCAGCAGCACAGTACAAAAGGTTGGCATACCATGGCTCTGGAGCTGCATGAAGCCCCTGAGTCACAGTATAGTGCAAATCCCTTTGCACTCCAAAGCTCAGCCCAGGAACGCAGCACAAAGGGGTGTCTTAATGCACTGGGATTGCAAGAAGAGCACTGATGACATGAATTCCAGCACAGCATGAATTCCTTTGTAATATAAAGTCCAGCTCAGCCCAGCTCAGCTGTGTGGTGCAAAACTGTAGTTGCCACATGAAGCTGCAGCCACTCTAACGTAGTTCCCAGACACTCACCCTCACAACCCTGCACTCAGAGATTCCTACCACCCTGTGCTTTGCTGCCCCAGCTGACCTTTGTCATCTTTGCCGTAAGTCCCTTCATTTAGCACTGCCATAAATTTGAATGGTTGCTGAACGGTTGAATGGTTCATAAGTTGAGGACTACCTGTACATGCATGTGCAGATGCACCAATATGTACTGCGGGGGGGGGGGGGGGGTCAAAATGCAAGCCTTTATCTTCCCCAACCCTATTCATACATGCAAACATACTAACTATATAGTGCTTGCTTGCAAGATACATTCTCTCTCACTGTTTATCTCACGCTCAACCCACCTGAGATATGACAGGCATTTTGCAAGTTAATAGAAATTCTGCATTCCCCCATCTGTCATCTTTGAAATTTTTTTTTAAGCAGTACACCAGCTTTTAAGAACTGATAACAGCTATCAGTTCAAAGACCAAGGCAGGTCAGAAGAAAATTTATATCAAGCTGTCAGTTAGAAAGGAAGCATGTTGGAAAATATTTGGATATTTGAAGTGAGAACTGGAGGGGAGAGCAAGTTTATGGTCAACATTGTTTTCATTTTGCATGAGAAAGAATCCATTTTTTCTTTTCCATGGCTCCACCCGGAATCTGCCACTGGTTCCCAGTTCCTGAACAAAAGTTCAACTGGGATTTGTAAACTAGTTTTAAGGAATTTGTTTATTCAGCTTAGAAACTTCCAGTTGGTGCTGAATGTCAGAAGGAAGTCATGTCAGAGTACTGTATTAGATTATAGGAGGCATAAAACTGGGAAATCACCTACGACCCACTACAGAGATACAGTCTGTATTAGATTATAGGAGGCGTAAAACTGGGAAATCACCTACAACCCACTACAGAGATACAGTCTGCTATAAAGGGAAAAGAGGAGAACAACATTTTAATCCATTAAAGTGATACTATTCCAAAGGGAGGATGAACCTCCAAAATGCTTCAGTAATCCAACAAATCTATGCCTGCACTTTCAGGGAATAGTTATATTTTGTCCATTTCCATAACTTCAAATATCGATCTGCCTTGGAGAATAATAAAAGGAAAGATGCCACTATACCTTCTTTCCCTCACATCTGAACACACTAGACTATAAACATAGCCGGCATTGTATTTCTGTGTTCAGGTATGACTGCAGAGAAAGTCAGCCACATCTATCAAATAAGATCCAGAATCCTACTTTCCTTGATCAGTGTGCTCTGAATAAAATTGCTTGGACTGTTTCATTGACACAGATAGTTATTTTTTCAGGTAGATTTTATATACACCATTTTGTTTTATGTGGACCTTCTTAGCTACTTTGAATCACCAATAATTGACAGGTAAGTTGGCAAGTTATTACCCCAAGAAATCTTGGTAGAAATCTCTGCCTACATCATCATTTTATGAAAAATGATTTAAAAATTGAAATTGAGAAAGTCTACAAAAGAACTGGCAATGTCATAGAAGGACACAGAAATAGGCTGAGGAATGATTTATTCGGGATGACTATTATTATTTTTTTCCACTAACATTGGAATCAGACCTTGATAGTAACGTCTTTGTATTTTGAAGAGAAATACAAAAGTTATGATGACCTTTCCAAAGTTCATAACATACCTTTTTTCCTCTTTTTATTAAAAGATATTGATGAATGTACCACCAGTGCCCATACGTGTAGATCAGATCAGGTCTGTGTCAATTTAAGGGGATCATTTACCTGCCAATGTCGAACTGGGTATCAAAAACGAGGAGACCAGTGCTTTGGTAAGTACCACACCGCAAAATGTATTTTGTGGAGTTTATATGTTTTCTTGTTATGGAATGTTACTGTTAGCTGCCTAGATTATCATGTACTAGACAACCCATGCTCCATTGGTTCATTCTTCTGGATATATTTCCTTACCTAAGCAGAAATAGAATGACTATAGATTAGCAAAACAGCAGTGAGAATGGGAGCAACTTCTGACTTTCTGATGGCTTTCACATTGAATTTCCTTGTGGGAAACTGGTAAAAGCATTGGAAATCCTTCCTTCCTCTCTTCTTCCCTCTCTCCTTCCCCCACTCCCTCAAATTTCTGATGGCCTCCCTGTTTACTTTGCCTCTGGAAGGCTGCCAGGGGATAAAGCAGCAGGAAGTTGCAAGTTCAAGGCCAACATGAATATAAGTGACTGCTGTTGGGTGGGGGAAATAGTGAGGGGAATAGTGAGGGGGCTCAGAACAGGTACAAGAAGTACCATGCAGTTTGGGAATGGTACATGGCTTCTGTAAGAGATGTTGCATAGATCAGAGACAGTAGGTGGGTGGGCAATGTGAGTCAGGAAAAGAGCATGAGAGGTGTCACATGGGTCAGGTAGGGCACTGAGAGGCAGGGTGGGTTGAGAAGGGTGCCTGAGGGTCATAGGGATATGTAAGAAGGGCCACCTGGGTTAGGAAGGGTATGTAGGGGGTGGCACAAGTCAGGATGGGTGCCTGGGAGAGCTTAGGAGTATGAAAATGTTGCTGCACAGGTTAGGCATGTCACAGAGAGACTGCATGAGTTGGGGAGGCTGTGCAGGGCAGGTATTGCAAGTCAAGGGAGGTTGTATGGATCAGGAAGGGTTCATAGGAGTGTTCAAGAGGTGTCACACAAGTCAGGGAGAGTTCATTGAGGTGCAACATAGGATGAGATGAGCACTCAGGGGTGCCACATGAGTTGGCGAAAGCATGCAGAAGATGTAGCGTGGATCAAGAAGGGTGCACGGAGGTGCATGAGTCAGGGAAGACTTGCAGGGGCAGCACAGGTCTGAGAGAGTGTGTGGAGCTACGGAAGAGGTGCTGCACAGTTGGAGAGGGCTTGCAAGGGCAGCTGGGGCTGGGAAGGGTACACAAAGATTCTTTCCTTCCATTCTTCTTTCCTTCTTTTCCTTCCTCCCTATTCCTCCCTCCTTTGCTTCCCTCACAAACTGGTAGGTAAGTGGTTGTTGCTGGGAGAGTGAGGGAGTGCATGAGTGGCCAGGAAAATGTCACAGAATGTTGAAAATGAGGATCATGTGACTGCAACAGTCTGGCTGGGCTGAAGTAGCAGCAGCAGCCCAGCAACACAGAAGCATCCACAATTCCCTGGAGAGTAACAGGTCCCAATATTCTGTGAGTTATCCCATTTGTTAACAAGGTTTTTCCCCATGATGCCGCATTTCACCCAGCGAAAAGTTACAGACATGGGGAGTTTTAGTAATATATAGTAGAGGTGGCCATGTATAAGTTTTTGCAATGAAATAAATAAACAAACAGACACACATGTGGAAATAACAATGTCTGCTGTTACACATCCTCCACAGCCAGCAGTGTGGTTGCATTCATGAGGACGATGAAAGTTGCAGCTATCACACGAGAAGGATAGGTAACCGTGAAAATCTACTACAAGGTTTAAGATGGAAAGCTTGTAAGAAGACTGTGCACTGAAACATTTGAAAAAAATAAGTTCAAAATGTAGAAGCCCCGATTTTCAAATAATTAAAGCAGTCATGTGGTCTCTCTACATGTTTATGCCTGCACATAAGAGGGTAGCTGCCAAACCAGCACATGGACTTTGCAAATGACAGACCCAGATGTGTTACCAGTTCAGAAATAGGTGCTTTATATGCTGTCTCATGAATTATGAAATACATATGTCAAATATTTTGCCTTGCATCTCTCTGATCTTTTTGATGTTTGGGGATAATTTTAATTTTGGGGTTTTAAATCCTATGATTTTTTTTCATTCAATGTCTGAACTTGATGCATTTCAAGAGAAACCAATCAGAGCTAAACAATGACTTGACTGGCATTTACAGAATGATCCCAGATCTAGCCCTTTAGGGAAACCCTCCTAGTGGGAAATTCCTCGTTACCCTCTCTGACCAGCACTACCACTCTGCTGTTCCCTATCAGTCTTTGGGTTTCTTTTTTAAGGATTTTAGGTAGTCCTCGACTTACGATCACAATTGAGCCAAATGTATGCTTAAAATTAAAGCTGGTGTTGCACATCGTTTTTTGTGGCAGTTCATGTTTGTAACTTTATTTTTGGAATTATTTTTAAAATACTTCTGTTCTAATGGCAACATAGACATTGATGAATGCACGTTCCCTTCCTTTTGCCACCATCGGTGTGTGAACAGTCCTGGTTCCTACCACTGCCATTGCAATGCTGGCTTTCAGTTAACACCTGACAACCGCACATGCGCCGGTAAGCACATTTCAGAACATTTCTGTAGAAACTGTCATACTTATTTTTTTTACTGTCATATTTTCTAATTATATAAATGTAAGTTGCATGGAATCCAATGAAAATAGACATTTATGTGATATGTAAAATGGCCAGTCACTTCAAGAAATACAATCATCAAAATACTTTATATATTAGATTTTATGTTTGTTCTTTTATAGAATAATAATAAAAAAGAAAAGGGGCTCGATATTAATAATAGTGATTTAACTTAGCATTTTCATTAGTGTGGACTGTTAAATTCATATTTGCTTTAAAGTATTGCTCTAATCCTGCCTTTGTGTGTGTATGATGCATTTCTTAATTCAGTATCAAATATCTTTCAGTTAAGAATATTTTAATTGATTTTGTTACAAACTTTTAGGGAACTAATTCAAGAGTAGTTATAGAATTATAAAAGTAATTGCTAAAATCTGCCCCCTGCAATATCTTCACCCAAAGTAGTGTTGTAATATTAATTTTTCCAGAGTTCATAGAATTATTTCTGAAAAAGCTAACCAAAGGTCTCCAGTATTGGGAGAGCCAATGGATATGTTTGAAATATTGAAAGTCTGTTGTGGAACATTTAAAGAAATGAGGCTTTCCTATTCCAAAAAAAGCAAAAACACAGAGGCTAGAGGGTTGCTCAGCACAAAACACCCAGATAGACTTGTATACCTTCTGTATTTTGGTCTAGCAGTTCTCTCAGCTCATCCTAGTCTTAAACTTCCCCTTTTCCTATCAATGGGTAACTTTAGAGAATAAATATAGGCGTTCAAGATGCTTAGGAAGCTCCGTGTCACATCGTATGAGAGTCAAACATTGGGAATATTTGAGATTGGGTATAAAGTATATATAGAGCCAGTTTGTTGTAGTGGTTAAGGCATCAGGCTAGAAACCAGGTGATTCTGAGTTCTACTCCTACCTTAGACACAAAACCAGCTAAGTGACCTTGAGCCAGTCACTTTCTTTGAACCCCTGGAAGGCAGTAGCAAACCACTTCTGAAAAACCTTCCCAAGAAAACTGTAGGGACTTTTCCAGGCAGTCTCTAAGAGTTGGCTATGATTGAATGGAAGAATAAATGGATATAATCACATATAACATGGATGTAATGCAGTTTGCATATGAATACAGACAACATTTCTGTAGAAAGGAGTCTGCTTTCTTTATATCTGAATAAGGTATGTTGTTTTAGAAAATCTTTTTTCCATCGCAGTTCCATTCAGATGCTCGGATTTCAAGTCCGAACCTGTTATAAATGCAATTATTGGAATTGAAATAGTAGGGAATGACTCGAGACTTTCATAGAAATATAGTACTCTTCTAAATCTTTATAAGCACTAATGTTAAAACTTAATAGATTTTGAAAAAAAATCTTCTGTTCATTTAAGAAGTTATTTTCTAGTCTACATACTAAAACTAAAATATTTAACGAAAATGCCAACACTTAAAATTATTAATGTTTTCAAATACAGAGATAAAAAAACTAACAAAAATATAAAAATAAATAAAAATAAAATAAAAAGAAGTGCAAAGAAAAAGATATATTAAAAGGCTACTCCCCTTTCCTCCATACAAGTATAAATAATTCAGTAACTTAACACTTAACAAATTATAAAGTTAAGTTATATGTTACCTTATAACATGTATTTATCACTAATAAATTATTTAATTCTTATGCCTAACTTGTTGCATGGTTCATCATCTCAGGAAGAAATTTTATACTAATAATAAAATCTATACTTTTTTTAAAGTTAAGTTTAATCCTGAAAAAAACTTTATTTAAGGATGTTCTATGTTCTCCAATAAAATAGCAGTGAAATACCAGAAACAATATATAATCCTCCCTCAACAACAAAATATCATGTCTTGCTGCTCTTCTTTACTGTCTACCTATTACTAAGAAGTATGAAACAGACCTGGTGAAGAAATTACATGGACTTCATTTTCTTAATTCTCTTTATGAAATTGTCTATAACCTGTATGTGGACATTAACTTTATTATATATACCAAGTTTGGGGAACTTACAAAAAATTGTACACAGAAAATTGTTCATGTTACTGAAAAAGTCAGCTTGGTTTCTAAAATGTACATATGTAAGTTTAAAATATATGTAGATCAAGGTTCATGCAAATCTAATGAATATACATAAATTACAAAACAAATTTATTACTGCATTCTTATGGTTTGGAAATTATATGGTTATTTGGCAAAAACCCAGACAGCAGGTGCTTAATTTTTATTATATTCTTCTTCACTATCCAATAATATGTTTAGGCTAAAATCCAAATGTCTTAAACACTTAAAACTACATTACAGCTTAGTCACCACTCTTAAAATAGCAATTAAATTAATTAGTTTGATTAACATTTTTATTGGACTTTATTGAGATGACAATTAATGACAAAAACCAAATCACAACTTAAAGTAAAAAAAAAAGTGATCATGACCAATTTGTAATTCTCAGAGTTCATAATAATCTTAGTAAAGCTCTGGAAATGAGAATTAGTAAAGTTCAGGAAATTATATGGATTTTTGAGTTCCATTTTGTAGTTATGCCTTATATCATAGAGAAATTTGGGTGAAATTGGGGAAGATGACACCCAGTATACCTGAGGTTTCCCTTTAGCAGAAGACTGCCATTTTATTTTTCATGAAAATATTTAGAATGCTATATTCCAACAAATTCTCATTTCAAAACATTTCTGGAAGTAGAAACTATAGTATTTGTACTTCTAATTCTCAAAATTTGCCTTATCTTAGCTCAAATATAGAAGTAGAATAGAATAATAAAATTGGAAGGGACCTTGGAGTCCCTTCTAGTCCAAACCCCTGCTCAAGCATTATACCATTCAGTCATCAGACAAATGGCTGTCTAATTCGGGTTTGGTTATGTTTTTGTCATAAACTTAGGGTTCTCCTTGGCAAGCTGGACTGAGGCAGATAAATAGATATAAGGATACAAAAATTTAACTGTAGAAAAACTAAGAAGCCACCACAAATGAATACCAAGGATTGATGTGTTGTATGCACAAATCCATAGTATAACAAATAATATGCAAAATTCAATTTAAAATAAAAGCAAGAACATGTTTGTGGTTGTGTAGGTATATGTAAAATAGCCATAGTAAATAACGAAGAGTAAAAAAACCCCATTCCTAGCAATTAAAGCAATTAAAATGCACAATAACATTCAGATTAATTACCTAGCTAATTAATGTTATTAAATGAGTATGATGTTCCATTGATATTAGTATAATACCAGTAACACTTCAGCAGCACTTCAATAGCTACATATAAAATGCCACTAGGCTCTCATAGACTCTCTGGAACAGCTCCTTAACCACTTTCTGGAGGCACCACATTTGAAGCTAACCTATTATTTGAAGAAGATTGATCCATAATGAATGAGTGAAAAGCATAGTTAAGTAGCTTCATGAAAATGTGAGTATGTTAAGACATTTTCAATGCATTAAGATTGCATTGAAAAGGTTGATTCTGGTTAGAGAAGGCAACCTTGAA